TATATATATATATATATATATATATATATATATATATATATATATATATATATGTATGTATATAATGCTCAAGAAATATAGTTTGCTGTGGTGATGAGGCTTATATGCTGCTGTTATAAAGGCTAGGCTAAACAGATTCATAATGCTAAAGAGGCGTTTTGTAGCTCCTGACTAAATTACGCCCTCACTCAAGGCTTGCTGGAATGTGGCGTCTAAGGCAGTAGGTGGGAGGCGTTTCCCTTCCCACTGGTAAATACAAAATACTGGGAAAGGAGAGGCTTGTGTCCTGGAGTGTGATTGTACCGGCTGATGATAAGGGTGATGATGATGTACATATATATGTGTATATGTATAAATATACATAGCGTGTGAACTTGAAAGAGGTAGCGAAAGTGAGTGAAGCAGATAATTTTAGACAAATAGGTAAACATGAATCACGAGAGAGAAAGGCAGAGTCTGAAACACACAGAACGAGAAAAAAAAAACATTAACGGAATAAATAAAAGAGAGAAAGAGAGAAAGAAGAAAAAGAAGAAGAAGAAAAAGTGCGGACTGGGAACCGCTTGCTTCATCCTCCACGCGCCAGATCTAGGAAAACTTTGACGCTCCTGATCACGGGGAATCTCCGTTCATTTAGTCTGACGCTAGGGAAGCCACCAGTGACACACGCATTTGCTCAAGAGGCGCTCGTACATTCTATATTTGTTTGCCTTTATCTTACGGTCTTTTGTTTTTTTTGTGCTGCTGTGCCTGCAAGGATTTATTGGTGCCATTATGATGTGCGCGGAATACCGGTAATGTGTTATGTATTTGATATTTCTCTTGTGGAATAGGAAATTGTCTTAGATTCGGTAGCTGGTACACGTTCCGTTGCCAATGCAGTTGGTGACCATGATGCCGGTATTAACGTTATAACCATCATTATCCCCGTCAATTAGTATCATTGCAGTAGTATCATTATTATTAGCAATAGTGCAAGTACTTTTGTTGTTTTATTGTTAACATCATTAACTCTTATTAAACTTATTGGCAATTTCATTTGATATTTGCTGGTGTTATTGTTATCTATATGTAATACATATCAGTATATATTACACACACACACACACATGTATATGTATGTATGTATGTGATACATATACAGTATGCGTGTGTGTGAGTGTGTGTGTATGTGTGTATGTGTGTGTGTATGTGTGTGTGTGTGTGTGTGTGTGTGTGTGTGTGTGTGTGTGTGTGTGTGTGTGTGTGTGTGTGTGTGTGTGTATGTGTGTGTGTGTGTGTGCATGTGCGTGCATCTTCTAATTTCATTTTCTGCCCTCATACTGTACTAGGCTTTCCTGTTAGAAATTTTGCTAGTAAGCAGGCATTCTCCGCAAGTGCCATACCAGTGTTCCGCAGGGGAGTTTCACAAAGCACCACGAAATAAGAGAATTGTAGGAAGACTTTGCCGTGTAGTGAACGATAAACAAAAAACAAGTTGACCACGAGTTGGATAAGTATATAAGCGTGAGCACGTGTGTATATTTATTCAAGTCTCGTACCCGTTCAGTTGAACTACGCAGACTACCAACACTACGCCGGTTTTGCGCAGCCCTCGAGAGTGGCACAAACTACACTCATTTCGACTCAATTTCCTTAGTTCTCCCATTTGAGAAAAAAGCGGTAGTGGGTGAAAATGTCATGTATAGAGGCAGAAAGGAGTTTCTCTACTCCCTCTGGAATGGTGATAAAACTGATATTAAATGTTATAATGATACTGATAAGACATTAATACTACTAATGGATATACTACTGCTACTACTACTACTACTACTACTACTACTACTAATGATGATATTCATAACAGAAATGAAATTAATAATGATGATGATAAGGAAGATGATGATAATAATACTAATATTAGTAATATTGATAATGATAAGGATATAGTAATAATAACAATTAGATAATAATAATGATTGTTAATAATAATCATAACAATAATAATATGCTATAATAATAATGCTATTGATGATAATATTATAAGAATATTGTGATGATAGTAATAGTAGAAATGCTGCTATGATAATTATTATGATAATTATGATGATAATAATAATAATAATAGTAATAACGATATTAATAATAATAATTGTAACAATAATATTAATGATAATACTATAAGTTATGATAGTTATGATGATAATAATGATGATATTTTTGATAATGATAACAGTGATCATAACGATATAATAATGATAATGATAATAGTAATGATAATGATGACAATAATTATAACAATAATGATTATAATAACAATAATCATTATTATCATAATTTTTCCTTTTATTATCAATTATTATTATGTTCATTATTAGTATTATGATTATTAATATTATTGTTATCTTTATTAAATCATTATTGATAATAATAATTATATGGATGATAACATTTGTAAGCGACCCTATATAAAAATGCGACAAGAGAGAGAGAGAGATAGAGATTGAGAGAGAGAGAGAAGAGAGAGCGAGAAGAGAGAGCGAGTAACAATAATAATATGCTATAATAATAATGCTATTGATGATAATATTATAAGAATATTGTGATGATAGTAATAGTAGAAATGCTGCTATGATAATTATTATGATAATTATGATGATAATAATAATAATAATAGTAATAACGATATTAATAATAATAATTGTAACAATAATATTAATGATAATACTATAAGTTATGATAGTTATGATGATAATAATGATGATATTTTTGATAATGATAACAGTGATCATAACGATATAATAATGATAATGATAATAGTAATGATAATGATGACAATAATTATAACAATAATGATTATAATAACAATAATCATTATTATCATAATTTTTCCTTTTATTATCAATTATTATTATGTTCATTATTAGTATTATGATTATTAATATTATTGTTATCTTTATTAAATCATTATTGATAATAATAATTATATGGATGATAACATTTGTAAGCGACCCTATATAAGAATGGGACAAAGAGAGAGAGAGAGAGAGAGAGAGAGAGAGAGAGAGAGAGAGAGAGAGAGAGAGAGAGAGAGAGAGAGAGAGAGAGAGAGAGAGAGAGAGAGAGAGAGAGAGAGAGAGAGAGAGAGAGAGAGAGAGTAATTGTAAGAGTAACAGTGATAATGATGGTATTAATGGTACTACTACTACTGCTACTATTACTAGTAATGATAATAATGATAATAAGAATGGTAATGATGATAATAATGATAATAATAATAGTAATAATAATAATAATAATAATAATAATAATAATAATAATAATAAATTAATAAATCCTCATCATCATCATCACCATCACCAACGTCAGCATCATGATAGTGATAATGATAACGATAAGAGCAATAACAATAATAGTTAAGAGTAGCAACAATGATAATGACGATAATTATAATAATAGTAATAGCTGTAATGATAAAAGTGACGATGATGATGGAAATGATGATGATAATAATAATAATAATGATAATAATCATAATAATCATAATGATAATGATAATTATAACAGTAACAATACAATAATGATAATAATAATGATAATGATAATAGTAATAATAATAATAATAATAATGATAATAATAATAGTAATAATAATAATAATAATAATGATAATAATAATAATAATAATGATAATAATAATAATAATAATAATAATAATAATAATAATAATAATAATAATAATAATAATAATGATAATAATAATAATAATAATAAATGATAATAATGATAATGATAATAATGATAATAATGATAATAATAAAGATAATAATGATGTTAATGATTATGTTGTAATGTTAATATAATTATAATAATAATGATGATTATAAAGATAATGATAAGAATAATAATGATAATGATAATAATGATGATTATAATAATAAAAGTAATAGCAACGAGGATGATAATGATAACATTAATGATTATAATAATAACAACAATGGGGTTGATAGTGATAACAATATTTATAATGATAATGATAACCATTTTCATAGCTATAATTACAATAGCATCATTAATCATACTTAGTAGTGAGAATGAGGATGATAATATTAACCAACATCCTCACCGTATAAATTCATTTCATTGAGTTTTAGTATCACATCATAATCATTATTTTTCTCACTAAAAAGAATGTTGCAGCCAATAAGAAACTTGGTATTCACATATAGATATAGATTTTTTTTCCGAGATAAGTGTCAGCAGCATCTGTGTTCACGGATGACGTAAGCAAAAAAAGAGGTTACCTCGAAGAAGGAAAATTTTGAATGAAAATGTTTTAACTGGCAATTGCTGATATCTTCGTTTAGATTTCAGTTCTTTTTAATGGTCTATTAAAACATATATTTCTTATATCTAACTATGAATGTGTTTGTGCGAATGTTCTCGTGTGTTAGTACATGTTAGTACATGTCTGTGCTAATTTATGTACGCCTGTATATGCATGATGTTGTTACGTCCATATTTTTCTCCCTTTATCCTTCATGTCCTTAATTCATATCCTTCTCTCTACCCCCCCCCCCCCCCTGCCATCGCAGCGTTCTGTTTCTGTGTAGGTGTATGGTGAGTACACTATCTTCTTCCATCATGTTTCACGTTTTCACGAGTGTATACCGTCACTGCAGGCAAACCACAAAGCAATACCCGGATATGTGGGACACCCCTCTCCTGCTGCATCACGAACCGAGCTCACGGCAAACCTCATACAGCTACGGCGAAATGTACAGAAATACTGCCTCAGTCAGCGAATGGGAAGGGAAGGTAAGTGTACAAGTGTGCATCTTGGCGTATGTTCCTGTGATGTTTTTTTTTGTGTGTATGTGTGTGTTTGTGTGTGTTAGTGTGTGTGTGTGTGTGTATGTGTGTGTGTGTGTGTGTGTGTGTGTGTGTGTGTGTGTGTGTGTGTGTGTGTGTGTGTGTGTGTGTGTGTGTGTGTGTGTGTGTGTGTGTGTGTGTGTGTGCGTG